CACATATATCATTCATCACATCCTTTTTGGCCATATCACATCGCATAGCATACCCTGCAAAAACAAGTTAGACGTCTTCTAATTGTTGTTTGCATGTTTTACGTGGCTGCTATGGGTTTCTAGCAAGAACGTTTCTTACCTACGCAAGAACCACAACGTGATATGCCAATTGCTATTTACCCTTCATAAGGACCCTTTTCATCGAATCCGATCCGACTAAAGTGGGAGAGACAGACACCCGCCAGCCACCTTATGCAACTAGTGCATGTTTGTCGGTGGAACCGGTCTCACGTAAGCGTACGTGTAAGGTTGGTCCGGGCCGCTTCATCCCACGATGCCGCCGAATCAAGATAAGACTAGTAACGGCAAGCATATTGAACAAAATCAACGCCCACAACTACTTTGTGTTCTACTCGTGCATAGAATCTACGCAATAGACCTAGCTCATGATGCCACTGTTGGGGAACGTAGCAGAAATTCAAAATTTTCCTACGTGTCACCAAGATCTATCTATGGAGAAACCAGCAACGAGGGGAAGGAGAGTGCATCTACATACCCTTGTAGATCGCTAAGCGGAAGCGTTCAAGTGAACGGGGTTGATGGAGTCGTACTCGTCGTGATTCAAATCACCGATGATCAAGTGCCGAACGGACAGCACCTCCGCGTTCAACACACGTACAGCCCGGTGACGTCTCCCACGCCTTGATCCAGCAAGGGGAGAGGGAGAGGTTGAGGAAGACTCCATCCAGCAGCAGCACAACGGCATGGTGGTGATGGAGGAGCGTGGCAATCCTGCAGAGCTTCGCCAAGCACCTACGGGAGAGGAGGAGGTGAACTTGGGAGAGAGGGAGGGGCTGCACCAAAGGCAAAAGGTGTGTCTCAAGAGGCCCTCTACCCCCACTATATATAGGGATCCCAAGGGGGGTGCTCCAGCCCTAGGAGATCCAATCTCCCAGGGGGCGGCGGCCAGGGGAGGTTTCCCTCCCCCCCAAGGCACCTAGGAGGTGCCTTCCCTCCTTGGGACTCTTCCTTTTAGGGTTCCCTAGGCGCATGGGCCTCTTGGGGCTGGTGCCCTTGGCCCATGTAGGCCAAGGCGCACCCCCTACAGCCCATGTGGCCCCCCGGGGCAGGTGGCCCCACCCGGTGGGCCCCCGGGACCCTTCCGGTGGTCCCGGTACAATACCGATGACCCCGAAACTTGTCCCGATGGCCGAAACAGGACTTCCTATATATAAATCTTTACCTCCGGACCATTCCGGAACTCCTCGTGACGTCCGGGATCTCATCCGGGACTCCGAACAACATTCGGTAACCACATACAAGCTTCCTTTATAACCCTAGCGTCATCGAACCTTAAGTGTGTAGACCCTACGGGTTCGGGAGACATGCAGACATGACCGAGATGTTCTCCGGTCAATAACCAACAGCGGGATCTGGATACCCATGTTGGCTCCCACATGTTCCATGATGATCTCATCGGATGAACCACGATGTCAAGGACTTAATCAATCCCGTATACAATTCCCTTTGTCTAGCGGTACGATACTTGCCCGAGATTCGATCGTCGGTATCCCGATACCTTGATCAATCTCGTTACCGGCAAGTCTCTTTACTTGTTCCGTAACACATCATCCCGTGATCAACTCCTTGGTCACATTGCGCAAATGATGATGTCCTACCGAGTGGGCCCAGAGATACCTCTCCGTTTACACGGAGTGACAAATCCCAGTCTCGATTCGTGCAACCCAACAGACACTTTCGGAGATACCTGTAATGCACCTTTATAGCCACCCAGTTACGTTGTGACGTTTGATACAACCAAAGCACTCCTACGGTATCCGAGAGTTGCACAATCTCATGGTCTAAGGAAATGATACTTGACATTAGAAAAGCTTTAGCATACGAACTACACGACCTTTGTGCTAGGCTTAGGATTGGGTCTTGTCCATCACATCATTCTTCTAATGATGTGATCCCGTTATCAATGACATCCAATGTCCATGGTTAGGAAACCGTAACCATCTATTGATCAACGAGCTAGTCAACTAGAGGCTCACCAGGGACAGATTGTGGTCTATGTATTCACACGTGTATTACCATTTCCGGATAATACAGTTATAGCATGAATAAAAGACAATTATCATGAACAAGGAAATATAATAATAATACTTTTATTATTGCCTCTAGGGCATATTTCCAACAAGAAGTACTCCATGCCGCGAACGGCGGCAACCGCGACTGGCGCCGTGACCCAGCCGAAGCAGAGGAAGCCGAGGGCGCCGCCATCGAAGCCACCGGGCCTGTCGAACGCTGAGTGGAGGGTGGAAGTTCAGCAGCGCGAAGCAGTCACCGCCGACAGGCGGAACAGGGCCATAGCCAAGAAGGCTCGCGACAACGCGGTGCGCGCGGCGGCGTCTTCCTCATCGGTCGACCAGGCGGGGATGAATCCACCCGTCGTCAGCCATGCCCAGTACGCGCCCTGGGGACAGCAAGGCGCTGGATCTCCATGGGGTTCATCGTCGCCCGGCTACGCCGACGGCGACGCGCACGGTGGGTTCAACCCAAACATGACCTTCCCTCATGGTCACCCCGCTACGCGCACGCCCTCGCCCGCCTTCATCGGCGTGCAGTACCCTCCATACAACTACTCGCCGCCCGCCGCCTACGCGTCCACACCGACGCCCCATCTCTACCGTGGACCGCTACCCTTCTCGCACCTCGGCGACGCCAACGACACGGGAGCCGACATGGACGACATCATCGCGACAAGATCGGCCGCGGCCGCCTCGTCTCCCGGGTTCGCCACCCAGGACGAGGTAGTGGACCTCAGCGGCGACAAGGAGGCCAAGCTCGGCTACGTCTACGGCGACGACGCGCAGGAACCCGAGGAGGAGGAGGAGGACGAGGAGGAGGAGGAGGAGGACGAGGAGGAGGAGGAGGAGGAGCCGACTCCTGTTCCGACAAAGGGGCGCCAAAAGAAGAAGAAGCGGGCGGCTAGGTCGGGCGAACCGCGCATCAAGTGGACGTCCAAGGAGGAGGAATGCCTCGCCGAAGCATGGAAAGTCGTCTGCCTCGACCCGACCACCGGCGCGAACCAGAGCTTCGAGACGTACTGGGACCGCATCAAGGCCGAGTTCGACGAGCGGAAGCTCGTCGACCCCTACTTCAAAGGCGTCTACATGCAGCGCGGCTCCAAGGTGATGGCGAACCATTGGGGGCGTATCCAGTTGGCGTGCAACAAATGGCATGGAATCGTCGAGGAGGTCGCGGCTCGCCCGGAGAGCGGCGCCAGCGTTGAGGATCAGGTACGCCCGCCGCCCGCCAACTGTTCGTCCCTCCGCGCAGCTGCTGCATATGTTCGCCATGTATCGGGGCGACAACCAAGACGCCGACTTCAAGCACCTCCACGTCTAAGCGCATTGATAAGTGCGAGAAGTGGGCGGAAGTCCGACGTGCCCTCGACAAGACCAAGGAGACATACAAGCCGGACGCGACGACTCCGGGCACGTTAGAGGGGCGGCCGGATGGCCATAAATTGGCAAAGAAGGGGAAAAACGCCGACGCGGCAACCACGCGAGTGCAGGAGTCCATTGAGCATTGCCTCGCTGACGCGCAGGCCCGGGCCGTCCTACGCGAAGAGAAGACCGAGGCGCGGTGGTCGGCGCTAATGAAGAACAACGCCATCAAGCTCGACCTGCTCCGGACGAACGTCGCCGCGAAGAAGAGGAACACCGACATGGCTTTTTTGATGGGCGGGGCGGACATGCTCAAGAGCAATGACGAGAAGCTCAAGGCGTGGTACCTGGTGCAGCGCGGCCTCATCCTGAACGAGCTGCCGACGGCAACGCCGACGACGCCGACGACGCCCACGACCACACGGACGCCAAGCCCGAGCGACGCCTCTACGCCGCCCAGCAGTGTCGAAGCCGTGCCGACGCAGCCCAGCACCGAAGCAGCTCCGACACCGCCGAGCTCGCGCACGCCGACTCCGCCAACGCCTGGAACCAACCCCGCCGAGTGAACCGACCCCGCCGAGGCGGCGGCGCTCTGTTTTTTGTAACGCCAGACTACGTCCGATCGCCGAATTTGCGCGTCTTTTGAGAGCGGGAACGACCAAGTTTGAATTTCCCGCATCCTGGGGCCGGCGCGTGGGGGCGTGACTGGGAGCTAGCTCGCCCCCAGGGACCGAACTAGCGCCGGCACGCCCCCAGGCCGCTTTATTTAGACGCCCTGGGGGCCGAACGGCTGAAGATGCCCTCAATAACGGTTGCCGGCTGTCGGCACGCAGTACACGTGATGACAATGCCCACGTGGAACACTTGATGTCCAGCCCACCAGACATACGGACGTGCTCCCTGGACCTGCATCTGCATCTGCATCTGCATGCATGTCGCAGGAACGTAAAACCAACTCCTGCAAGTGCCTCATGCATGCAACTACTCTTGGATCTAGCCAGGTAAAAATAAACAGCTATACTTACATCTTGTTTGAGTCAAAAAAGAAGGAGACTACAACCCAGCCAGCACCAAAAATGTGTGTAGAGTATACGTACGGAAAATTACATCCACAATAAAACTAGAGAAGAAAATCCTCCCAGCACCTACCATGTTGTGAAGGCGAGTAAATTACTCATAACGTCAGTTTTGGCAAAAATAACAGCAAAATCACCACTTCTGAGGCCGATGCACCTAACAGATAAATTATCTGAACAATTGAGACAAATAGAAAGATATACACCGCTAATTTTGATGGAGTATGTTATAAGGGTGCAGATTAATTGGATATACAGATAATACAACTATAACATTTGCGTAAAAAAATATAATAATTACATTGGCATGGACATTAGAACTGTATATCAAATATACAAGTCTTCTCAAAATAAAAGTATGTATTTTTTAGCATCTAGCCTTGTCATTGCCTGACAATGCGGCTAGTTTTAGCATCCTACAAACAAACAATGGGATACCATATAACATCGATTGTTTGTGTAAATGCAGGGATATTGAAGCTGACAACGCCATCGAGTTGAGGGGGGAAGAATTTGCGACCCTAAAAACACACATCCTAGAGGAGCAGAGCAAGATAGAACGTCGAGCTGTCATCTCCATCGTTGGACCAAGCGGCATTGGTAAGACGACACTGGCCAGGAAGTTGTACAATGACCGTGCTGTGAGGGAACACTTCAAGGTGCGCGCCTGGATAAGCCTTCCGCCGTGCATCCGGTTCGAGAAGTACCTCGAGATGATGTACGAGCAGGTCCGCAAGCAGGTCCCTGAAGACCTGCAACATGGGGATGGAGACGCCAGTGGTAAACTTCAACAACTTCTGAGAAAACATGAGCACAATTATTTGGTGGTGCTCGATGGCCTGGTGGACATTAGTGACTGGAACTCTTTAGTCAGCTTGCTGCCAGATGACAACCCCAGAAGCCGAATCCTTCTCACCACACAGCTCAAAGTGAAGGAAATTAAACCCAGTGTCAAGTAAACCGCACCTATTGTTCTGCAACCTCTTGGCAGCATCGGTGGCACCAAGGACATTCTGAAGTTGTTCTACCGACGAGCTTTTGGTTTCGGAGGAAATGGTATTCGCCCCCGCGCAATGAGTAATTTATCCGAAAGGACTCTCAAGATATCGGCAGGCCTTCCATTAGCAATTGTTGTGCTCAGCGGGCTCCTTCGGACCAAGAATTTTGGTCATGAATGGAACGAAGTGCTCGAGCAACTGGAGGAGTCCAAGGGTCAGCCAATCAGATGCCTATGGGCACTAGCCTTCGAAGACCTGCCACACCACCTCAAGTCATGCTTCACTAGTAGAAAAAGGGTCATACGTGAAGCCCAATAATGCCGGTTTGAATTTCAGCCGGCACTAATGTGTACAATAGCACCGGTTCGTGGCGGCGATCAATAGCACCGGTTCGTGGCGAACCTTTAGTACCGGTTCATGTCACGAACCGGTACTAAAGGGGATGTGTCAGCCTGCGGTCAGGCTATGGCCCCACCATCACCATTTAGTGCCGGTTCGTACCACGAACCGGTACTAATGAGGTTATGGCAAGCTGTTTTTAGTCCCACCTCGCTCCCCTAGCAAGCCTTTTACCACCTTAAATATGTTATTTCTCAAACTATCACAAGCATTTGGTCTTCATTGAACTCTATGTGTAGAATTTGTGGCCGCAATATGAGTCTTCATCGATTTATAAATCGTTGATGACTCATATTGACAATTCAGATTGTACACACAAAGATCATTGATGATCAAAGTATTTTTGATGTTATAAGATCATATTGACAGTTTAGACTCTAAAGAAATATAAGATCGTGATGTAAATGCTCTTATATTTTTTGCGTTCAGTATGCACCATTCAAAGTGACGCCATCAACTTTCAACCATTTCTGCCTTCATTTGCTATTTTTTTATGCATTCAATGATTTGTTTTGAGAACTAAATGACCTGAAAATTGAAAAACACTACAAATGAACTCTGAAAAAGTTGAAACTTGGCATGGTATCATCATTTCACCCACATAGATTGTTCAAAAGAGTAGAGAGGGTTACGGCAAAAACTGGATGCACTTCGTTTACCAACTGGACAATCTCTTTCGAAGTATTCAGGTTTCTGACGAAATTAAACTCATCTGTTACAAAGGCATTTTATTTTTTTAAACTTATTACAACTCCAGACTTTTTGTGCATTCAGTATGCACCATTCAAAGCGACGCCATCAACTTTCAACCATTTCTGCCTTCATTTGCTATTTTTCATGCATTCAATGATTTGTTTTGAGAACTAAATGACCTGGAAATTGAAAAGCACTACAAATGAACTCTGAGAAAGTTGAAACTTGGCATGGTATCATCATTTCACCCACATAGATTGTTCAAAAAAGTAGAGAGGGTTACGGCAAAAACTGGATGCACTTCGTTTACAAACTGGACAATCTCTTTCGAATTATTCAGGTTTCTGACGAAATTAAACTCATCTGTTACAAAGGCATTTCATTTTTTTAAACTTATTACAACTCCAAACTTTTTGTGCATTCAGTATGCATCATTCAAAGCGACGCCATCAACTTTCAACCCTTTCTGCCTTCATTTGATATTTTTCATGCATTTAATGATTTGTTTTGAGCTAAATGACACTAATTAAATTTTGTGCAGGCAGCGCACCACCTTTTAGTCCCACCTCGCCAAGAGAGAGGGAGTAGGAGCGGTTTATAAGCCCTGGGTGCAGAGACGATGAAGAAGAGGCTCAATGCTCACGTTGCTTAGCTTCAAGCCTTTAGGAATATGGTAGATTGCACGGAGCTACGCGCAGTGCAGTTTACACTATTCCAAAACGCTTGAAGCAAATTAACGAGCATTGCACCTATTTTTTATTTTTAATAACTTATTACAACTCCGGACTTCTTCTGTTATGGCAAAAGGA